TCGGCGGGGTCAGGGTCCAAAAACACATGGGATTTGCTACATTTCTGAAATTCGATGGCACCCCTCACGCGGATTGGCGGGGTCAGGGTCCGAAAACAGAAGGATCTGCTACAATTCTGAAATTCGGTGGCACCCCTGACAAAGATCCGTAGGGTCAGGGTGGAACAACAAACAGGTCCCGACGTTGCTTCACGGCGGCGCCCAGACCTCATGATTTAGCTTTTGCAACTCCCATTATCCGAGACAGGGGGCCGGCGGCATGAGGCGAAACCTTTACGGATAACGTGATTTCGACGGCGAGGTCGATACATAGTGAGATCGATCGGTCGAGGGAAATCGGTGATGGGATCGATAGCGTTTTTTTCGTGGTGTCTATTGGTGTCCAGCAGCATTGTATGTTCTTAATATACTCTTCTATAAAGAGAAGAGCGCTCGGGCATAGATGGTCAAATATATTGTCCTGTGCGTTGGTATTGTGTGTGTGTTCACGAAAGGGGAGGCCTGGCAAATACACGCCACCTAGACCGATAACGATGCCGATGTGCTATTGATAACGATATCGATAATTAGTGAGATCGATCGTGGTGTCCCGTGGTGTATCATGATGCCGTGGCGTTGCGTGTTCCCCATATCCGAAGGATGGGGTTCTTGTTCTTACTCCGACCGCGCCGACTCCTTTCACCTTCTCCTTCTCCGCTTCCTCGCTGAGAGTCGCACTCAGGGTCGCTATTTGGGTTATGTTATGCTGATGTCAACTATCATGATGATGCTGATGCTGGTGATGATAATGATGTTCGTGGATGCTGTCGCCCATTGTTGACGATGGCGATGATGGTGATGCTGATGAAGGTGACCATGATGATGCTGCTACTGATGAGGATGATGATGACGCTGATGACCACTTTGATGATGATGATGATGATGATGATGATGGTGATTCTGATGGTTGAGATGATGACGAGGATGATGATTATGATGGCGATGCTGCTGCTGAACATGAGGGTGGTGCTGGTGATGATGATAAGGATGACGGAATTGATGATGATGACAATGATGACAACGATGTTGCTGCTGCTGATGATGTTGATACTGATGCTGGTGACCAAGCCCAATTTAATGATGATGATGCTGATGATGATGATGATGATGGTGATTTAGATGATGACGAGAATGAACGTTACGATGCTGATGATGATGATGATGCTGCTGCTGATGGTGATGACGACGGAACAGATTTTGAGGATATCTCGGGCGAGGCGCTGCTTCAGCACAACCAAGGGTAGCCGCCAAAGGATATCTTACTCTGCCGTTCGCACCCACAAAAGATGTCTGGAACTGTTTGCCTGTTCCACCACCCGACATCCTCCGCTTTCGTAGCAGATTTGGAAGATGTCTCAAGCGAGGCGCTGTTTTTTTCAGATCATCCGCTGTCGGATCCGATTTTGAGGATGCCTCGGGCGAGGCGCTGGTTTTCGCAACCCAGGGTGCCCAGATTGCGAGGACGTCTCGAGCGGTTTGGGTATTTTGGTGGCCAGGCTCGCTTGCGTTCCCAGGAGACACCAGGATGCCCCAGGAAGCACCAAGAAACACCAGGACAGCACAGGAGGCACCAGGATGCCTGCGGATGTCCCAGGAGGCCCCATGAAGCCCCAAGAGGTTCCAGGAGGCCCTCGGAGGCACCAGCAGGCCCCACGAGGCTCCAAGAGGCCACAAGAAGCCCCAGGAGGCCACAGGAGTGGCTCCAATCCTATGTAATGTACACGTGTTCCTATAGATTGGGGCTTCTCCTGGGGCGCGAATCCTTAATGCTGTACGCATGTTCCTATAACATGCCCTTCTCTGGTGGCTCCAATCCTATGTGTGTTTCCGTGTGTTCCTCTAGATTGAGCCTCTCTCGGGGCACGACTCCTTAACGGTTTACGTATGTCCCTATAGATTGCCACTCCCTTGTGGCTCCAATCCAAAGTGTTCTGCGCCTGTTCCTCTAGATCGGGCATCTCACAGGGGCACGGATCCTCTTCAGGATGCACCAGGAGGCTTCAGTAGGCACCAGGAGGCTTCAGGAAGTTCCAGGAGGCCCCAGCAAGCCCCCAGGGGCACCAGGATGCCCCAAGAGGTTCCAGGAGGCCTCGAGACTCCCGAAGAGGCCCCAGGAGCCTTCAGGAGGCCCCAGGAGCCACCAGGAGGCACCAGTCCAGGAAGCACAAGGAGGTCCCAGGAGGCCGCAGAAGGCCATAACAGTGGCTTCCATCCTATGAGAATTACACATGTTCCTATGTATTGTCTTTCTCCTGTGGCTTCGATCCTGCGCGTTTTGATCCGCTCCTACAGATAGGGCCTCTCCTGGGGCACGAACCCTTAATCTTTTACGTATGTTCCTATAACATGCCCTTGTCTGATTGCTCCAATCCTACGTGTTTCCGTGCGTTCCTATAGATTGAGCCTCTACTGGGGCACGAACCCTTAGTGCTTTACGTATGTTCCTATACATTGCCCCTCTCATGTGGCTTCAATGCTATGTGTATTTCCGTATGTTCCTGTAGAATGAACCTCTCCCGGGGCACGGATCCTTAGTGCTTTACGTATGTTCCTATATATTGTCCCTTTCCAATTGCTCCAGTCCTATGTGTTTTACGCATGTTCCTATAGAGTTGGCCTCTCCTCTCAGTGGCGTGGCTGGCTACATCACGGTCCAGCCACTGGGTGAGAGCTTCTGCGCCAACCACTGAAGCGCAAGGGCTTTGCATGGGGTTTGTGATCACACCTATTCCTTGCTTCATCATGGAGGGAGGGATCGCGTAGCCATTTCGACTCAGTCACGCTCTGCCATGCGCAGGCCACTGACGCGCAGATACTCTTATCCTAAGCTTAGACATACTCAGACTCATGCGCATGGACTCACCCGTACTACTGAGACTCGTTCACACCCCAACTCGTTCACAGTTCGATGCACGCCCAGTCAGTCACTGCTCATGCCAATGTATATTCGAAGTCTCTGGCGCCCAGACACTCACGGCGGAAAGGTCCATGCAAAAAGATGCACATATGGGGAGCTCAATGCAGGGAGTAGTTCTTGTCATAAAATCCAACAGAAGCGAACGTGCGGACAAATAAATCCCACCTGGTTCCGCTGGTATCCCTGATGCTTTGGTATATTGTAGTGAGATCGAGCGTGGCATCGATAGTGAAATCGATGGTGAGAACGAGAGTGAACGAGATAGTGCCATCGAGGGACAGGTCGATATGTAGATAGAAATTTAGGTCGATAGTGGTATCGATAGATACATCGATGGCGAGGCCGACAGTGAGATCCATAGTGGGATCGATCGTGGGGTCCATAATGAGATCGACAGTGGTGTCCTGTCGCGCCCTGTGGTCTCATGGGCAGCAATGGAGGTGGCATGTATTTGCCTGCGACTGCGATGGTGACGCAATCACCAAGTGCGTCGTGCCGCTAGCCAGTCTCTGCCAGTCACAATTGCTTGATGCTTGTGCGCTGCCCGTTTGCGATGCCCCGCTCGTCACCAACATCGCCGCCACGCATCACCACTACCACATGCATTGTCACTGGCATCGCCGCCGTGCATCGCCATCATGCGTTGTCACCAGCATCGTCGTCGTGCGTCGTCGCCAACTCGTCGTCACCAGGACGGCCACTGCAGAGGTCGTCAATTGCCCCCTCCACCCCTATAACCTCCTAATCACACGAAATCTGGTCGTAAAATATTCGATTCCGATTTCCAGAGGACTCCCTGCAAGAGGTGTCGCTTTTTAAGTCCTTGCTCTTCCTCCTTCTCCATATTACCTATACGAACACCATTCGGGTGATAAGGAGGTTCGGGGGGGGGGAAGGGGAGGGGGAGGAACAAACGTCTCACTCAATCGATCTTACTACCGATCGCACCATCGATCTTACTGTCGATATATAACTATCAACGTTACTACCCATCATACTATCGATCCCACTATCAATCTCACTATGGATCTCACTATCGATCTTACGATCAATCTTACTATCAATCTCGCTATCGATCTCACTATCGATCTGAATATCGGTCTCACTATTGACCTTACTATCGATCTCTCTTGGCCGATCTCGATATCGATCTCAGCATCGATCTCGCTATTGATCACACTATCGATCTCACTATCAATCTTACTCGACCGACCTCAAAATCGATCTCACAATCGATCTCACTATCCCTCTCACTGAGGATCTCACTATGGACCTCGCCATTGATATCACAATCGGCCTCACTATCGATCTCACAATCGATCTCACAATCGATCTCACTGTCGATCTCACTATCGGTCTCACTATCGATCTCACGATCGATCTCACGATCGATCTCACTATCGATCTCACTATCGATCTCACTATCGATCTCACTATCGATCTCACTATCGACCTTACTATCGATCTCACTGTCGATCTCACTATCGATTTCACTATCGATCTCACTATCGATCTCACTGTTGATCTCTCTACGGGACACCGCTGGGACACCGACAGGGCACCAGTGGAACACCCGCAAGACACCCCTGGACAACCTTGGATTGGCGGCGCCCTAGTCAACGGAGGGGAGCGTTCGTGTCTCTCGCTCGCCCACGCAACTTCGCCTCGCCCGCACGCACGATACAAACACAACACCGGAACCAATTCCCGGTGGGGCGCTCTCCGTTTCACTGCGATCTCACCCCCTCAACTCCCGTTTTGCTCATCCTCCTACTCAGCCCCCAGATTGTCTGCAACCCAGGACATCTCCAATAAAGCCGAGGCGATCCTCATGAGGACATCTCTGAGAATAGAGGCGATGTGTGTCACATGTTGCGGCCTTCCGGAGGCGCCCGCCCCGTCACCGTACACAGATTTCTGCACTGTTCTGACAAGTGCAACTTCGTTAAGCTGTTCGGCGGCTTTGAAGGTAGCTGCTTGCGGCTTTCAGGAGACCGCGGAGCCTCTGGAAGAAAACCTGCGATGTGAGACCCAGCACATTAACGAACAGAGCAAAGAAGAGAGCGCCTCGAGAGGCAGGGAGGGTAGCCTTGACACTCACCAGTGTTCCTGGCTTGAGCGATAATTGAAATATCAGCTGACGCTGGCGCATCGGCGTTGCCGTGTGGTGGGCCGCCTGGCCACCTAGAAAACCACCAAAGAAATGATGTGTACACGCTATGTTTCGGCGGTGGACAAAACTCCCTTTAGTAAACCTCCCCTTCGCGGAAACGGCCTGGGACCGAAACCGACGGACCTGGACCCGCAAAAATGACGGCCGCGACGCCCCCTCGCGAACCGAAAACGGCCAATTCCTTAATCGGCGTGTCAGGGTAGAAGGTCTGTCCACCCCCGACACGACATCAAGGATCTGTACACTCTGTAAGAACGGTTTTTTGAAGGCAGATCTGCCTTCAAAAAATGGTCTACTCTGTAAGAACGGTTTTTTGAAGGCAGATCTGCCTTCAAAAAATGGTCTACTCTGTAAGAACGGTTTTTTGAAGGCAGATCTGCCTTCAAAAACCGTTCTTACAGAGTGGACCAGCAATTCCTTAATCGGCGTGTCAGGGTAGAAGGTCTGTCCACCCCCGACACGACATCAAAGATCTGTACACTATATTGTTGGCAAGCGGTGCGGCTGCGTGAGCTTGCTTCGCCGGTCTGCCGCTGCCCAGGTATCGCGCAGCGCATCCGGCATTCGCCGACCTCCAGGCGTGCGAGAGCATGTTACAGGGCAGTTTTCCAAACATGGGATTTTTAACAACATCGGATTTTTAATACATGCTTACTTTATGGGTACATTTATGCATGAACTCGTCGTTGTTTTCAATACTGAATCCCTGCATTTTTGATTCATGATCCGCACGCGGAGCATGTATAAAAAACGGCACTGTACGTCCTCCCTCTTCCTCCTCCGTCTCCTCCTCATTTTCCTCGTGCTCCTACTCCACCCTGTAACGGCCTCACAGCATCCCAGCACAGCAGAGGCGTCACATGTTGCGACCTTCTGGGTTTGTTCCTACCGTCGCCACACAGAGGGTGGGGCAAGATGAAGGAGCAGAAACAGCGAGGAGGTGGGGCAGGAGGAACGTTGAGAGAGGGGACCAGACGGCCTAGACGAGGCCGGCACCGAGGTTCAGGATAGACACAGCGACGCGAAAGAGCGTGTCACATCATACGGCTCTCCCAAGCCTCGGGGCACGAGGTCTCACACGTTACTGCCTCCTGTGGGGCCCCTTGACCAGACGTCACCCAGAGTGCTGAGCTGGCACGGTGCGGGACTTGCCGCAAGCAACTGGATAATTCATTGTGATTTTCGCGTAATGCGTTTGCTATTGGGAAGCTGCGTATAAACATTGAAGCTCAGATCCTGGACATACGGATCCGCAAACTCCAGGGGGAGGTGGGGTTGGAGGAGAAGGAGGACAGATATTAGGGTATGGGGCGGGGGCCCGTCCTGAAGAAAGCCCCAGCACAGCACGAGAGTCTCGAGGGCAGTTGAAAGCAGCATCGGCCTCTTATTGCGCAGCGGGGCTACGCTTTGATGGCGTCTGCGACGCACCACCCGCCAATACCACTGCAACCACGAGGCCGGTCGCTGCAACCGTCGTACTCCACGGATTGCCTTCACGCGCTCGCTGCAGACGGCCCCGCTCTGATGCCCCGAGGGCCAGAGCGCCTCCCAGCATTGCCCTCCTCCCTCTGGGCCAGACTGCAGGCGAGGCCGTCTTCGCGCGAGCCCTTCGTGCCGAGATGGCTGCAGGCGTGCGCGCTGCGATCCCCCGAGGGCCCGAGCGCGCTCCTAGGGCAGCCTGGACTGCGTGCCCTGCGAGCCAGGTTCAAAACTAGAGCGGCTCGAGGCCGTATCAGCATGGCGGTGTCGTCGCCAAAAGAGCTGCTGCCGACCGATCGCCTTTGAGCACGCGTGACGCAGGCATTTAGCTAGCGTGACCGCTTCAGGGCCGGCCGAGAGCTCCATACATTGGGAACTCCAAGCACTAGAGCATTATCATCAGCGGGAGGGAGAAACTGGATGGGATTTGAGAGGGGAGAGGGAGAGGGAAGGATACGGGGAGTGTGGGGTGTGTCATCGGGGAAGCCCCAGCGGGGCTCCAAAAGAGCCCCCAGAGCCGCTGCAGCCAGCACCGCCAGGTGGCCCTGTGAGCCGTCGGCCTCCCTTCGCGCAGCGTCTTCAAGAGAACACCTTTGCGCGACCCCGTCGGGCCGAGATCGCTGCAAGCGGCCCCGAGGGCCAAAACGCCTTCCGCGTGGGGCCTGGACTGCGTGCCCCGTGGCCCCGGCCACAGTCATGAGCCCCCCTGGCCAGGGCCTGCAGAGCCAAGAGCGGCATATCGCCTGAGGGGATGTCCCCGATCTGCGCACCCGCAGCGGTGCTGTTCCCTCGAGCGAAGGCACCACCTCCCTTTTCTCCTCTGGGGGGGTTGCTCAAGGCGTTCCTGGCACACCGTGCCCCCAGCTTCTCGCCTCATCTTGGACCCCCTGGAGCCCTCGGGGCCTCGTGATGGGGTTTTCTGGAGGCCGTGAGGTCCTCCCTAGACATCCTGCGGACACCCTGGGCCAGGCACACTCCTGGCAGCACCCGAGCCTCCCCGAGCCTCCTCCTCCTCCTCCTCCTCCTGCTGCTGCTCCTCCTGCTGCTCCTCCTGCTGCTGCTGCTGCTCCTCCTCCTCCTCCTCCTCCTCCTCCTCCTCCCTCTCGCCCTCCCCCTCCCCCTCCTCCTAATCCTCCTCCTCCTCCTCCTCCTCCTCCTCCTCTTCCTCATCCCCCTTTCCCTTTCCCTCCTCCTCGCCCTCCCCCTCCTGTCCTCGGTCGGCTGCCGCTTCCCGTAGGGGGCGCCGCTCGCCGGGCAGTCGTGGGGCTGCGACCGAGCCGCACGGGGCGCCCTCAGCTCCCAGGAGGCCCGCGGCCCGGGGCGCGGGTCAGGGCCGCCGTGTCCTCCAGGCGGGCCCTGAGCTCCGCGAACTGCCCCTCCGCCCAGGCGCCGAACTCGGCCTGGGCTGCGCGCACGAAGTGCAGCCCGCAGCTGATGGCGTACACGTCCATGCTGGACCTCAGAGATGCTCTGTTCGCAACGCTGGAGGCTTTCGTTTTTGACGCTTTCCGTATCGACGTTTGTCTGACATTTTGGGATTCTCGCTCGAGCCGTTTTCGGTTCGGTTCCGTTTTGGACTACCAATGGTTGATCTGTTTTGGGCTGCCGTTGCTGCTTTTCCGTTGCCGAGCAATTGAACGTTTTCAACATAAACTAAATGTCGGACGCCTCCCCCTTCAGCCGCATGCAGCCCGCCAGGAAGGCGGAGAGCTGGACCCTCTTCTCGCCGCCCTGGCAAACCGTGCCAGAGTTGTAGGAGGTGAGCATCTTGAACAGCATCCTCGTGTCCTTTCCCGGGGGGCTTCCAGGATGGGGGGGAGTTGTGGCAGGCGGAGGTTGGCGCATCCTGGCCCGAGGCATCTGCGCGGACGAGTGGTGGGGGATGAGATGCACTAAACAAATATTTAATATAATAGTGACATCAATACAACTGATAATAATAACAATGATAACGGTAATAACACTCATAATAATACTAATGATGATAATGCGACTTACAAGACTAGTACTACGAATACTTGAGAACACTAAGAACAATACTAAGACGACTCAGACACATACGGAAAGTAATAAGCATAACGGCCATGAATTCTGGGACATTCAATGGCCCCGGTCACACACGCAATCCTCACCCCATTCTTTGACCCCCCCGCCTGTTGGGTCAGGCCCCGTGCATCGAAATGCTTCCGGAACTCTCGCTCGTTCATGTAGCCAACGAACTCGCCGAAGGTGATGGTGTCTTGGTCATCCTCGCGCTTGCCAGACACCATGCGGATAAGCTCGTCTGCGTCATGCAGGTCCGAGTGGCACTTGTCCAGTACCTCGTTCTCCGAGCATGGCTTGGCGATCTCCATCGCTTTGTCCAAAAACACGCTCGTAACGATGTTCATCACCGCAAGGAACATGAACATTATGTAGACGACGTATACAACGCACGCAAAGCCCCCTAATGGCTCCAGCCTCTCGTAATAATATGCCCAGTCGTTGCCTCCTGTCGTGGCCACTATCAGCGAGAACAACGCTGTCTCTACCTGTCCAAAGTGCTCCAGCAACTCTTTCTCTTGGGCGGGGCTCAGGTTGCCATCCGACAAAGCGGCAGCCACACTTTGGACGAAGTAAATGGCGAAGAGGGATGATAGGAATCCGAGCAGTGCACTCGCCCAAACCAAGGGCCAGACTGAGTGCACCAAACAATCTATCATTACGCGGATGTCCTTGAACGCGTGGAGGGCGCGCATCATTCGGAGGACTTTGACAACCTTGAAGATGCGGAGGATCCGCAAAAACGTAGGGTCTACTGCGCCCGAGCCTGTTTGCAGGAGTGGTAATATCGAAATCTCGAACAGAGCCATGAGCACCAAAGCCAAGTCCAATATATTGAATGCCGCGTCTTCGTTGGTGAAGAAGAACAATCGGTGGACCCAGAGCTTCAAGACGAGCTCAACACAATAAAATGCGGTGAAAACGAATTCAGCCAACGCAATCGTGTCATTTGCATCGGAAGTCCCCACTGAGTGATTCGCCGCCCAGACAACGAATATACAATTCAAGAGAACGACCAAATTGCAACTGATGTCAAATGCCCTACTTTGAACAAACTCCGCTAGAAGTCCGTGGTGTTGCGGCTCTTCCACATTCATTTGTGCCGTGACACCCCTGATCAACCTCTCGAACCTAGTCCGTTCTGAGTAGCCAAGGACAGAGTAGTTCGCCGCAGAACAGCTCGATTCTTTTGTGGTTCTCCTGGCATCTGAGTCGCTCCCGCCGCGGCTGCTCATCCTTCGCGCTTCGCCGCCTCCGAGCGGATCGTTCCCGGCTGGATCGACGTCGGCGAGGTCCCCGATCGCCACGACGTGCTTCGACGGGCTTGGCGGCGAGGGCTTCGGGGCCTCGCGCTCCTGCTGGCCGCCGGCCGCCGCCTCATCCTCGACCTGGCTGGCGCCCTTTGAGCGGGGACCGACCGTCCCGGCATTCCTATAGTCCTACCACGAAACGTTCTTAGAACCCCCAAACGTTCGAATAACAAAACCATGTTCTTAGAACGTAAGCCCGATGTGATAAAACAAGACAGACTCCGCCAGACATGTTCCAATAACATTTCGTAAGAACCACAAAAGGTTTTAGAACATTGATGGGCTTGTTTTCCGTCACCACCACCATAAGTTGGAGGGGGGAAGTGGGATGAGGAGGAGGAGGAGGAGGACGAAGAGGAGCAGGAGGAGGAGGAGGAGGAGGAGGAGGAGGAGGAGGAGGAGCAGGAGGAGGACCCCAATTCCCCCTCCAACTTATGGTGGTGGTGGTGGTGGTGGAAAACAGGTCCATCAGCACACTGTTCGGTAGGGTTATAGGCGAGCCAGGACGCTTCGCCACTGCTTGATCAGCGCGTCGCTTGCTTGGAGGATGATGATGATGATGAGGAGGAGGAGGAAGAGGAGGAGGAGGAGGAGGAGGAGGAGGAGGAGGAGGAGGAGGAGGAGGAGGAGGAGGAGAAAAAAGGGGGGGAGGAGGAGGAGGGAGGAGAGGAGGAGGAGGAGGAGGAGGAGGAGGAGGAGGAGGAGGAGGAGGAGGAGGAGGGAGGAGGAGGAGGAGGAGGAGGGAGGAGGAGGGGAGGAGGAGGAGGAGGAGAGGAGGAGGAGGAGGAAGAGGAGGAGGAGGAGGAGGAGGAGGAGGAGGACGGCACCTGCCGCGCCTGCGGGGGCACGCTCCCGCCGGCCCGCGCGGCGGACGGCGCGCCGCGCGCGGATGACGCCGCCAGGCCCTGACCGCGCAGCAGCGCCTCGCCCACCGCGCGCCCGAGCTCCTGCCCGATCAGCTCGGCCGCCCGCGTCAGCTCCGCCTCGTGTTAGGTCGGGCCTGTCCCCCTGCAGGGGGACCTTGGACGACCAATGAAAAAAACAACTTCCCAAAATGGCCCCAGATGCTCAAAAACAGCCAGAAAGTCGTCCCTGGACTATTTCCCAACCGACCTGTGTTGTTGGGTCCTCGTTTTGAAAAGACGGTCCCCGCGTGTCCTCCTCCTCCTCCTCCTCCTACTCCTCCTCCTCCTCCTCCTCCTCCTCCTCCTCTTTTTCCCAACCATCCTGTGGTGTTGGGTCCTCGTTTTGAAGAGACGGTGCCCCGCGTTCCTCTCCTCCTCCTCCTCCTCCTCCTCCTCCTCCTCCTCGCCCTCCTCCCTCCAGGGTTCGCATGCCTCCCCAACACCCATTTCGGCACACCCCTCACACGTTTCGTGGCCCCATGGGGAGCTCCACCGAAGGCCCCAGTGGCGCGGTGCCTATGAGAAGAGGGGCCCAGTTTGCGTGCCCCCTCCTTCGTCTCATATCCGTGCGGTACTCGCAGCTGCATATGGTTGGGTCCTTCGCCAAGCTAATTTTCTTCTCCTCCTCTCATCTTCATCCTCATTAGCGTCGTCATCATCATCATCATCATCATCATCATCATCATCATCATCATCATCATCATCATCATCATCATCATCATCATCATCATCATCATCATCATCATCATCGTCATCATCATCATCGTCATCATCCATCATCATCATCATCATTACCATCAACATCATCGTCATCATCGTCACCGTTGTACTCATCATCATCAGCATCATCATCATCAACATCATCATCATCACCCCCCAGTGCAGCGCTTCGTGGCCCCACGGGGAACGCCACCGAGCGCCACCAAAGGTCCCCGTGGCGCAGTCCGCATGCGTCTCCCTCACCCAGTACAGCGCTTCGTGGCCCTATCGGGGCTCCACCGAAGGTCCCGGTGGCGCAGTCCGCATGCGTCTCCCTCACCCAGTACAGCGTGTCGTGGCCCCATAGGGAGCTCCACCGAAGGTCTCCGTGGCGTAGTCCGCATGCGTCTCCTCCACCCAGTACAGCGTGTCGTGGCCCCATACGGGCTCCACCGAAAGTCCCCGTGGCGCAGTCCGCATGCGTCTTCCCCACCCAGTACAGCGTTTCGTGGCCCCAGAGGGGCTCCACCGAAGGTCCCCGTGTCGCAGTCCGCATGCGTCTCCCTCACCCAGTCCAGCGTGTCGTGGCCCCATAGGGAGCGCCACCGAAGGTCTCCGTGGCGCAGTCCGCATGCGTCTCCCCCACCCAGTACAGCGTTTCGTTGCCCCATAGGGGGCGCCAGAGAAGGTCGCCGTGGCGCAGTCCGCATGCGTCTCCCCCACCCAGTACAGCGTTTCGTGGCCCCATATGGGGCTCCACCGAAGGTCCCCGTGGCGCAGTCCGCATGCGTCTTCCCCACCCAGTACAGCGTTTCGTGGCCCCACGGGAAGCGCCACCGAAGGTCGCCGTGGCGCAGTCCGCATGCGTCTTCCCCACCCAGTACAGCGTTTCGTGGCCCCATAGGGGCTCCAGAGAAAGTCCCCGTGTCGCAGTCCGCATGCGTCTCCCTCACCCAGTCCAGCGTCGTCGTGGCCCCATAGGGAGCTCCACCGAAGGTCCCCGTGGCGCAGTCCGCATGCGTCTCCCCCACCCAGTACAGCGTGTCGTGGCCCCATAGGGGCTCCACCGAAGGTTCCCGTGGCGCAGTCCACATGCGTCTCCCGCGCCCAGTGCCGCGTGTCGTGGCCCCATATGGAACCCCACTGAATGTCCCCGTGGCGCAGTCCGCATGCGTCTTCCTCACCCAGTACAGCGTGTCGTGGCCCCATAGGGGCTCCGCCGAAGGTCCCCGTGTCGCTGTCCGCATGCGGTTCCCCCACCCAGTACAGCGTGTCGTGGCACCAGAGGGAGCTCCACCGAAGGCCCCCGTGGCGCAGTCCGCATGCGTCACCCCCCCCACCCAGTACACCTCCGTCGGAGGCCGTCGGGGTTCCGCGCCTCGCTCGCCCGTCGTCGCTCTGCCCAGCGGCAAGAGCCTTGCCCGCTATCAGCCAGCCATCTACCTCTCTTTGCTCCGCGCAGCGGACGACCCGCGCGCGTCGCTGGGACCCCTCCGGGGCGACCTGCGCGCGTCGCGGCGACTCCGCGCTGCGCTGCGCCCGCAACCTTGGACTTTTGAGTGCGCGGGCAAAGAGGGAGTAAAAAAAGGGGAGGAAGCGGGCGCGATCCTCGCGTGGGGGCGCGCCGACATTGGCGTCGCGGCGCGCGGGCGATGCCGGCGGGGAGTCCCAGGCCCAGCGTCACGAGTACTCAGAGGCAGTCATTCTCAAACTATTGACATTCATATACAACTACACCATGCTTTGTCATACTCGCATTCATGCACGTAGACTCGCTCGCACGCAGATTCATTCACAATCAGACGCACTCGCGCTCAGATTCGCCCGCGCTCGGTCTCCCTACGTACTCAGATCAATCCTTTTCGTTCGCGTTGTGTACCACGCCACTCATTTCGGCACACCCCTAGCACGGTTCGTTGCCTCATAGGGATCACCACCGGAAAAGTGAATCACGAGTGCGGTACACACACCTGCACATGGTTGGGTCCTTCGTCAGGCTGATTTTTTCACTGCTCTCAGATCTTCCCTCTGTAGAGGGACAGGCCGACTCACGCCTTGTGCTGCGCCGCGGTCTCTTGCAGCGCCGCCGCGTGCCGCGCGAGGGCCTGCTCCAGCTGGCCGTGCAGGGAGGCGGGCGCCTGCCCGAGCTGGCCCGGCCTCGGGGGGGGCTGCCTGGCAGAGTTGCTGGCGTCCAAGAGCTCCTCCGGCTGCAGGTACTGCTGGAACTTGGCCAGCTGCGACCGGAACGACAGGGGCTCGCCGAAGTCATCCCCGAGCATCCCGTCGGTGGGCTTCCGCTCCTGCCGCGCGGCCGCGCGGTGCCACGCCGCATCGAGCTGGGTCGCAGCGATGGGCGGCACGGGCGCCTGGCGGCGGTCTCTGGGCGACTTGGGTGCGCCCTGCTGGGAGCCGCCCCTGGGGCTATTCTTGGGGCTGTGCGACGACGCCCGCAGTCTCGGTGAGGAAGATGACACCGCGTGCGCACGTGGGGTGCGCCCCATCCTGGCGAAGTCGGGGCGGGCTGCGGAAGGTTGCCGGTGGGGCGCGCAGCTGAGGCCGAGATGGCCTGAGCGAAACAGGACTGCAATGAGAGGAAGATGGCGCCATGAGGGGCGTAAAAGGGTGCCAGGATGGCCCAATACGGCCGATGACCCAATACGGCCCCAACATTGCCCCAAGGCAGCCTCTGGAGGGCCCCAGGACCATCCGAAAAGGCCCAAGACGGCGCCCCAAGGTCCCAAGATGTTCAAAGAGAGCTCCAAGAAAGACTCAAGGCGGCCCCAACGCGAGAGTCCCCAAAGGAGGATGAGGAGGACGGGGAGGGCGAGGATGGACGATGGAGGAAGATGGTGAGGACCACGAGAGGAGAGGCAAGAAGAGAGAGGAGAGAGTAGGGCGTGGACGAGAAAACGAGAAGGACGAGGACGAGGTGCGAAGTGAGATGGAAGAACAGGCGCAGGTGGGTGTCAGGGCGGAGACCGCGGACGAGGGCCAGGAGGATAGGGATAACGAGGATGTTCATGAGGAGGATGAGCGAGAACGTGGGAGGAGGATCCGTGCGCGACCACGGCGGCGAGCTCCAGCCTCGTGGCCCACGCGCCCGAACTTCTGTCGTTCGATGGTTCGTCTGGCAGTACCGTCCGCGACGCGGTGTGTATCACAGCGTCGACACCTGCTCTGCGGATGCCCCCTCCACCAGTAAAACCACTGCTCCTCTACCCTTCAACTTTACTTTGCGCGCGGCGCTGACCATGTCTGGGCTCGCGCACGGCGCGACAGCACTACTCAGGGCAAAGATCTCCGCTCAAGCTGGTCATCCCGATCGGGCCCATCATCCCTGCGCCAACGCATGTAGCACGTCCAGGACATGCAAAACCCAACATTGTGCTTTTCCACGCTGGCGCGTTCAATCCCATTGGCGTCCAATGGAGAATGATTAGATCCGTGCCTCTGTTTGGATGTTGGCATGTTGACTTTGATTGGAACTCCCCAACATGATGATGCCGATTATGGCGACGATGCTCACAATGATGACGATAACTAATGGCAGACAATGGTAAAACCGTGTTGCGATGACAATGGCGATGATGACGGCGAGAATAATGACTCGGCAATTGTTATGTTGACCTGGAAATGGGGCGACACATTTTCGCTACACGTCGCGCTCACACAATTGATTCAGTGCTCCCTAGGCGCCGGGGGCTCTACATGATGGTTCGATCCTAATGTTGCACTGTTGTGATGCAACCTGTCCCCAAACCGCCCATAAGAAGACCAGACATGCAACTGCAGTGCTGCCAGCGCGGGCACGAGTTCGAGTCCTCGCGCAATCTTTCGGGTGCAATCCACTTTGACTGTCTTGAAGCTGTCCTCTCCACTGCTCGTGCAAACATCCCACCCACCAACCCGCAACTTGGTTTGCAAAACCTGTTCAGACCGACTACGACGACACCGACGACAACGACTAGGACGACACCGACGACGTCTCCGACGACTTCGACGACGACAACGACGCCGACGCCGACGACGACGAAGACGACAACGACGACACCAACGAAGGCGACGACGAGGGAGGAAGGACGACGACGGCGACAACGACGACAACGACGACAACGACGAGGGAGGAGGGAGGACGGCGACGACGCGAACGACGACGAAGGAGGAAGGACGGCGACGCCGACGACGACAACGACGAGGGAGGAGGGAAGACGACGACAACGACGACGACGACGGCGACGAAATAGGAGGGACGACGACGAGACGCCGACGACGGACGACGACGACGACCAGGGAGGAGGAAGGACGACCACGGCGACAACGACGACGGAAACGACCACGACGCCAAAGAGGACGACGACGACGAGCACGAGGAAAGACAGAGGACGACGAAGGCGACGACGACGACGACGACGCGGGATGAGGGAGGACGGCGACGACGACGACGACGCAAGAACGCGCGCGCACGCTTTTGTTAAAAATCCGTGTTGCGAAACCCTAGGTTTTTCCCAACCATCCTGTGGTGTTGGGTCTTCGTTTTGGAGAGACGGTGCCCCGCGTTCCTCCTCCTCCTCCTCCTCCTCCTCCTCCCCCTCCTCCCTCAGGGTTCGCATGCCTCCCCACCACCCATTTCGGCACACCCCTCACACGTTTCGTAGCCCCATAGGGAGCTCCACCGAAGGCCCCAGTGGCAAAGTTCGCATGCCTCCCCACCACCCATGTCGGCACACCCCTCACACGTTTCGTGGCCCCATAGGGAGCCCCACCGAAGGCCCCAATGGCAAGGTTCGCATGCCTCCCCACCACCCATTTCGGCACACCCCTCGCGCGTTTCGTGGCCCCATAGGGAGCTCCACCGAAAGCCCCAGTGGCAGGGTTCGCATGCCTCCCCACCACCCATTTCGGCACACCCCTCACACGTTTCGTGGCCCCATAGGGAGCTCCACCGAAGGCCCCAGTGGCAGGGTTCGCATGTCTCCCCACCCCCATTTCGGCACACCCCTCACACGCTTCGTGGCCCCATAGGGGGCTCCACCGAGGCCCCAGTGGCAGGGTTCGCATGCCTCCCCACCACACATTTCGGCACACCCCTCACACGTTTCGTGGCCCCATAGGGAGCTCCACCGAAGGCCCCAGTGGCAGGGTTCGCATGCATTTCGGCACACCCCTCACACGTTTCGTGGCCCCATCCACCGAAGGCCCCAGTGGCAGGGTTCGCATGCCCCCCCCACCCATTTCGGCACACCCCTCACACGTTTCGTGGCCCATCGGGAGCTCCACCGAAGGCCCCAGTGGCCTCCCCACCACCCATTTCGGCACACCCCTCACACGTTTCGTGGCCCCATAGGGAGCTCCACCGAAGGCCCCAGTGGCTGCGTTCGCATGCCTCCCCACCACCCATTTCGGCACACCCCTCACACGTTTCGTGGCCCCATAGGGAGCTCCACCGAAGGCCCCAGTGGCAGGTTCGCATGCCTCCCCACCACCATTTCGGCACACCCCTCACACGTTTCGTGGCCCCATAGGGAGCTCCACCGAAGGCCCCAGTGGCAGGGTTCGCATGCCTCCCCACCACCCATTTCGGCACACCCCTCACACGTTTCGTGGCCCCATAGGGAGCTCCACCGAAGGCCCCAGTGGCAGGGTTCGCATGCCTCCCCACCACCCATTTCGGCACACCCCTCACACGTTTCGTGGCCCCATAGGGAGCTCCACCGAAGGCCCCAGTGGCAGGGTTCGCATGCTCCCCACCACCCATTTCGGCACACCCCTCACACGTTTCGTGGCCCCATAGGGAGCTCCACCGAAGGCCCCAGTGGCTGCGTTCGCATGCCTCCCCACCACCCATTTCGGCACACCCCTCACACGTTTCGTGGCCCCATAGGGAGCTCCACCGAAGGCCCCAGTGGCCTGGTTCGTATGCCTCCCCAACACCCATGTCGGCACATCCCTCACACGTTTCGTGGCCCCATGGGGATTTCCATTGAAGGCCCCAGTGACTGGGTTCGCATGCGCCCCCACACCCATTTCGGCACACCCCTCACACGTTTCGTGGCACCATAGGGAGCTCCACCGAAGGCCCCAGTGGCTGCGTTCGCATGCCGCCCCCACACCAATTTCGGCACACCCCTCACACGTTTCGTGGCCCCACAGGGAGCTCCACCGAAGGCCCCAGTGGCTGCGTTCGCATGCCGCCCCCACACCAACTTCGGTGCACCCCTCACACGTTTCGTGGCCTCATAAGGAGCTCCACCGAAGGCACCAGTGGCAACGTTCGCATGCCGCCCCCACACCCATTTCGGCACACCCCTCACACGTTTCGTGGCCACATAGGGAGATCCACCGAAGACGGTACTCACACCAGCATTACTCACAACTGCATATGGTTGGGTCCTTCGCCAGGCTAATTGTAAGTTTTTTTTTGGACGCGCGAGCTCGACATCCTTCCGAAACCGATGGGTTCTGAAGGATTTCGGCGTACGCGCGACGACGCGCGCGTCTGCACTTCGCCTTATTTTTTGCAGAGGATTCTCGCGACGGCACACGCGCAAGGGCGTTCGACAGATTTCGACATGCGCGCGCGCGACGCCCGTTTGGTAGCATTTTGTGAAAATTTTGAAAAACCAATGGTTTTCTTCAGATTTCGCAAGAGCTCGCGCGGAAGCTTTTTTAGCAACTCAGTGTTGCGAAACCCTGTGTTTTTCCCAACCAACCTGTAGTGTTGGGTCCTCGTTTTGAACAGACCGTCCCCGCGTTCCTCCTCCTCTCCTCTCCTCCTCCTCCCCCTCCTTCTCCCGTTCCCAATGCCACCGTCCACATGCGTCCCCCCACTCAGTACAGCGTTTCATGGCCCCATACGGAGCTCCACCGAAAGCCCCAGTGCTACGTCCACATGCGTCACCCCCACTCAGTACAGCGTTTCGTGGCCCCATAGGGAGCCCCACGGAACGCCCCAGTTCCACCGTCCACATGCGTCACCCCCACTCGGTACAGCGCTTCGTGGCCCCATAGGGAGCTCCACCGAAGGCCCCAGTGCCACCGTCCACATGCGCCCCCCCCACTCAGTACAGCGTTTCGTGGCCCCATAGGGAGCTCCACCGAAGGCCCCAGTGCCACCGTCCACATGCGTCCCCCCCAGTCAGTACAGCGCTTCGTGGCCCCATAGGGAGCTCCACCGAAGGCCCCAGTGCCACCGTCCACCACCCACTCAGTGCAGCGTTTCGTGGGCCCCATAGGGAGCTCCGAAGGCCCCAGTGCCACCGTCCACATGCGTCCCCCCCACTCAGTACAGCGTTTCGTGGCCCCATAGGGAGCTCCACCGAAGGCCCCAGTGCCACCGTCCACATGCGTCCCCCCCACTCAGTACAGCGTTTCGTGGCCCCATAAGGAGCTCCACCGAAGGCCCCAGTGCCACCGTCCACATGCGTCCCCCCCACTCAGTACAGCGTTTCGTGGCCCCATAGGGAGCCCCACCGAAGGTCACAGTGCTACCGTCCACATGCGTCCCCCCCCACTCAGTACAGCGTTTCGTGGCCACATAGGGAGCCTCACCGAAGCCCCCAGTGGGAAGTGCGTCCTGAAACATC